CGGGGCGTGGTGAGAGGAGGGAACGACCCACATGGCGGCTAGGGTACGGTGGTGTAGGAGAACGCGCTTGAGAAAGTTACTGGCATCTGAAGGACTGCCAGCCCTAGCTATCCAACCTGCGATTGCCCAACCCAGCCCTGTGCACCAGCCGCCACTTCCACAGCCCCAGTGCCATGGTGGGTCTCCACCCCCCACTCTACCCCCCTACCTGTTCAGCGGCAGGCAGGGCCCCGTACGACGATCCCGTTGGCCCAGGCTCCTTCCCAAAGCCCCTACCCCCAACCTCGATAACCCTTCCTTCCCGCAATAAACGCCTAAACCACGCCGTAGCCCCAGGCTCCTTCCCGCAATAAACGCCTAGACCACGCCATAGCCCCAGGCTCCTTCCCGCAATAAACGCCACGCGAACCACACAAACCCTGCTTCCTGCTCGGCACAGCTTCGGTTCCCCTCTTCCCTCCCCCTTCCCACCAGACTACACTCGGTTTGATCCGGGCTCCAGTTGGCCACACTGGCACTGACGTTCAGGAACATGGGGAGAGCCTGCACGGGGGGAGAGGTGTGATTACGTAGTGCGAGACACGGGGGAGCCCTCCCGAGGGGGGGAAAGGCCAGGGGGAACACAGGAGGGGGGAGCCCAGGTCCTATACATTCAAGCCGCCGCCAGTAGTACACGAGTACAAGTCTCAGGTCTTCATTTCGGAAGCCCTCAAACCGCCGACCGACCCTAAGCTCCATAAAGACGGCGCAGGCCTCGGTCCCTAGCCCCCAAAAGTAATGGTTGTGTTGGGTGGGGGCCACACTGCGGAATGACATGGTGAATAGCGCCAAACGCCCCAAATCCTTTTTTTCCTTCAAGTCCAGAATTCCATCTCCCAGATTTCGCCTTTTTTGTATGCTGTTCCACTCGTGGGACAGAGATTTTCTCAATACTGTAAACAGGGTCTAGTTTACTCGTAAATTGAAAACTAAAGTAATCGACATTTAAGTAGCTTCCATGGGTAGTTTATGCTCATTCGAGTTGGGGAGGTCGTCTCAGACACCGCTCATGATCTTCCTTGGCAGTTCGCTCGGGAGAACCCCTTTACGACTTTCCCGCGCGCGTGATGCGGATGCTTGACCCGCCACTGTCCTGTCCTGTTGCCCCTTGCCGCCCCACCTGCTTGGCAACCACCTCGGCAGTGTCCCGGAAGGACGAGCAGCGAGTGATCTTGGCCTTGGCTAGGAACTCATCCACAAGGCGGATACCCATATTGTAGCCCCTGGAGGAAATAAACGGTGGGAATGGGCGAGGGAAGGATTGGAGGGGAGGGGAAAGGCGGCCAAGAGGAGAAGACGGACAAACAAGGCAGGGGTATACACGGGCAGCAGTAGAGGAGACGCGAGATTGCAGTAGAGGGGGACGCGGGCGGGGGGGTGCCCTCGCACGAGATTGGTGTGGTGTGGGTTATTTGTGAGTTCGAGCCTGGACTGGGGTACGGAGTCGGCAAGTTGGGAAGGGTCGAAACGTTGCAGGTGGAGAATGGGCTCCTTTTAAGTAACTCAAGGGGAGATGGGCTCCCTGTAAGTAATTTAACCTGCTGCACTAGCACAGTGGTCGAGAAGCTGGCGTGGTAACATACTTACATCTGCTCTAATTGCTTGTTGACCTCCTCAATGTCCTCGAAATCTGATATGAGCTGCCGGACGATCGAACCGTAGGTCAACGTGAAAACCTCTGCATTCTACATTGGAAGAAAATGTTTACACAATCTAATGACAGTTCGCAATACCATGTGCGACGCATGGACATCCCTCACAATTTGCTCTAGGCTTGGTGCATTGCGGGCCCCAGCGGGGCCGCCCCTCAGCATCGTTTCCTTTCAATGTTCTAAGTCGTATTTGCCTTAACTGGATTTGGAAATTCTCTATAACTCAAATATCAGCAAGCGTAACTACAGATGCTGCATCTAATTGGCATCAATACGAGACTACCAAAGGCCGGGAAATAATTACACACTCTATTTGTCTTCGCCCAGTTAAGAACCAGGCCTCCCGTGTCGCCGGGGGAAGTTGGGCGCCGTACGATGCAACCGTGCACAAAGGTTCAAGCGACAGTGACAGGACCAGAAATCCATACAGAAGATTGCTACATACCGGATTTCTACGTATCATATAGTGCGTAGTGACAAACATCTGACAACATCTTGGCTGCCGAGGATGATATGCCACATCCTGTATGCCACAACGGTCGGTCATGGTCAGGTCGCGTGTCTGCGATCCCCTGCTGCAATCCGAGGTTGACCTCTAGCCCTGCCTGGTTTACGACCCAGCCACCCAAGCAACCACGTGACGTCGGGAGGTTCAGGAGGTGCATTGTCTATGTGTAACACGTTTGTGCGTTAGTCGGCGTGGGTGAATCCGTGCGACAGGGTGACTGCATGGAAAGATATTATCTATATGCCATTCCCTGAAAGTTCCCCATTACGTGAGCGCACTAAGTGGTTACATGCAAAGCGGACCTTGTCCAGGCGGCTCAGCATTGTGGACAGCCTGCCAAGATTTGCGTCACCAGGTTGGATGAAAAGCGATAGTAATCAGTGGTTATAGCAGCGGCGCAGTCGCGCTGACCGCAAGGGGGACAGCAACGGAAGTGTAACCGCTCCAACGGCCCAACGCCATCCTGACAATAATCAATGAATTTACATGATGCGTTCACACCGCGCATGACTTGTGATTACTTTGGTTGGCGCGTGGACAACTCATCACTGCAATTCAGATCTGCAATTGTAATCACTATGGTTTTCAAGCAGCGCGGCGCAGTTTTCTATTTTGCCTTACATACGTAAAGGATCTTTGCCGACAAACTCACAAGCTATTTGTCTTGAAAGCATCGTTATACGAGAAAAATGGCTGCATGCTTTGGCAACAGTGATGAAAGAGGAAACTAGTTGTCGTTTACAGGATGCGCTTAGCGCTATGGACGTGTTCGTCGGCTGTCGCATAAACTTCCTGTGATAGGCTATGGTGATGCTTAGGGCACGTTTCAGCCACCGACAGCACGTTGGCGATGGACGGGGGGGAGCTGTTGGAGCTCCATTGCCCTATTTGCTACGGCGAGCAGGGAGAATCCGGATATTCGACGCTTGTTTGTGGCCACATTTTTCACGAGAAGTGCCTGTCGCAATCCCTTCGTTTAAGAAAGGAGTGCCCTAGCTGTCGGGTGAGCTTTCGATTGCGTTTGCTCGACGCTCAGGCCCACCCAGCCCTCTTAACCTGTCTTCGCCAGCTCAAGCTACCTTTCCACATTGCTGCTTTTGCGCTGGTTCCACTGGAACGTCCTTGCCCGTTTCAGTGTCCCGCAAGGCCTCTCGACACAGGCCGCCGCGACGCCAACAGCCAGCCTAAATGCCCCTGCAAGACCGGGCAGCCGCTCCGGCTGTTCCATCTCCAGCGTCCACGCAGCGGCGCGGACGCCACATCCACGCCTGGTCACCTCTCCGTTGGGGCCGTCGGATCGGCGGTGGACAGTGCGATTTTGGCAGCGGTGGAGCAGCGGGCTGCACAGCGTGAGTCCCGACTGCGAGAGGCCCTTCAGGAGGAGAGAGAGCGCGCTGCAACACTTGAAGCGCAGCTGGAGGCGCAGCTGGCAGATATCGCCAAGACGCAGGCAAGGGTTCGGTTCGGGGTTGGGGGCGTCTGCCTCGGCCCCAGTTTCATGGTGTTGGGGCCGATCGCGATGGGTTGTACAGAGCATATGAAAGTACAGTCGGGTATTGTGCCCGTATTGCTCTTTGGAGGGGTTAGGGGGTATGTTTCCTGGGTCGATAACTCAGGAGGAGGAAGAGGAGGGGGAGGACTGCACCAGTTTGGTCTGGTCTGTTACTTGCATGGCCTGACAACTTCAAAACGTTCCAACGGACGGCCAAGAAGAGGTCAAGTCGGTCAGGTCGGGGGTTAGCTACGGCCCCCGAATGTCGCAATGGTGTTCGGTGTCGCCGAAGGGATAACTGCCCTTGAGGGGGCAACTCACCGCACGCGCAATCCCTTTCGCACAGGCACCGCGACTGACGTCCAGCAGACTGACGGGGATGGCGATTACACACCCCGGGCGGAAAGTGGGAAGGGGATAACACTGCCGCCGACAACTGGGGGAGGCACCCGAAGATTAATAACTAGGGGAACACTCCCTTACATTGCTTATTCTTGCATGAAAAGCTCGCTGGCTAGAGTCACGAACTAGGGGCTACGAAACAAGGGCTACAGCACAACCGCCATGGCCTGTGGTGCGGTCCAGCGGAGCTGCAAGTGCGCGATGTGTAGGGCTGCTCGCCAGCGCCCGTCACGGTGCCACCTGCCCGCCTGCGGAAGTGGTGTCCCCTCTATCTGCACCCGCATGTGGACGAGCAACCAGCCTTCCGTTGCACAGCTCGGTCGACTTTCTTAGGACCCACCATTGGTGCTTATCCCTCTTCCGCGGCCGCTATATGTTATCCTGGGCTGTCCAGGAGAAGGCGGAGCGGCGCAAACAGCGGCTGGCGGCCCAGGAGCGAGACCACAAGCTGGCCACAGCCCGGTGCGGGGGGAGGGTGCGGGACAGGGGGCCCTATGCGGAAGGGAACGGAAGTACAACCGCCAACCGCCCAACTCGACGTGATCAAGCCCAGGACGCACAGGACGCCAGTGCCGCATGCAGAGGGGGAAAGCATCCAACGGGGTGACGAGCGGCCGAGCGGCCGCGGGAGGAGGGAGGAGGGGATGCCCGGATGAGAGCTGCAAGGGCCGCGGGAGGGCATTGACGGATATCCGCTGGGGCAAGGAGTGTGCAGCATCTACTACTAGAGCAGAGTAGAATTCACAATTTGCTTTAAAGTTATGCGGGGGGGGGGTGAAAGGAGGAATGCAGGGTAAGAGGATGACGTTGACATTCCTCTCATCCTTACCGCTGAGGCTAGCTACCGCTGAGGTAGGTGTTGCCCGTGTTGTTGTCGCCGACGGTGGCGATGATGATAATGATGATGATGATGGTGCTATTAACGGTGCTGATTGTGATATTGTTACTGCTGTTTTTAAAAAGGTTGTCGGAGGACAAGTCGCGGTTAGAGGCTCGGGAGCGGGAGCTGGCGGAGGAGCTCACTCGTGTACGGCAGGCGCTGCACGGCACGCGGATGGATTTGGTACGGATGCGCGTATTCGCCAGCAGCTTCAACGTGTTGTGCGGGTGTGGTCCCGGGCAAAGAGCCACGAGCGCGTTCCTAGTTGGCAGACCCGTGGGTCCTAGGGGGGCGGGGCTGTTGCCATCTGGGTTGCAGGGTTGAGGAACGCAAATGGGTATGTATGTACGTATGTATGTACCTACGTCGTTGCCGTTCGTGCTGGTTACAAGTTATGAGCTCCGCACCAATGCGGGGGAGTGTCCGTCCAAGCCTGAGGGGACCCGTGGACTATTCATATTCAAAGTTTTCCCCCCGCTGTACAACCCAAGGTGGTTTGGGTCCTGCTATCTAGACCCCATAGACTCATATCCAGTCACCCGACATCCGTAGAGACAGCCATCAGCCATCTCCACCAATCCAGCATGCAAAGCTTAGTCCATCAACTAGACCTCTCATCTCCGCACCTCAGTAGCAGTCGTAATAAACCCAGTACTCCCAATCAAAGTCGAGGGGGTTTGCCAGGACTTGAATCCTTCCAAGACCTTCATTTGCTAATTGCAGTGGTGTCACCAGGCCTGACCAGGACTCCAATTGCCGGAGGAACAGTGGGAACACCTCATCGAAAGGATTCTGTGACGTTCTCTCGAATGTCCATTTCCCCCCTTCCGCCTTCCGCCTTCAAGAACGCCTTTTGGTCAGTTCTACTTCTGGTACACTCTTTTGCCCTGGCAGCAGCTTCACTCGTTCTCACGTGGTTCGTCTTTCCAACCCCCTCCCTTCCCCCCGGGGCAGGAAAAGGCCCGTGCTGCGGTGTACGAGCGTGATGACGCGGTTATGCGGCTGAAGCGGGAGGTGGCCATGCAGCGGGCGCGGGCGGGGGGTTCGGCGGCGCTGCAGCCCCGGGAGCTGGCTGAGCTGCTGGGGGAGAGGAAGGTGCGCAGGGAAGGAAGGGGAGGGGGAGAGAGGGCGGGGGAGAGGGCATGCATACATACATACATACATACATACATACATACATACATACATACATACATACATACATACATACATACATACATACATGCTTACATCAACAGGCCAGGTCCAGTGGGGTCGTCAGCGGCTTTTCCATTGGACGGCTCATGGGACACAGCAGCTTTGCGACCCGCGCACGTGTGTGGTCGTGTCCAGCCTTGGCGGAGGGAGGGGGAAGAGGGACGGGGAAGAGGGAGGGGGAATGTCGCCGGAGTTTAACACATCGGACCACATGGGGTTGCTGGAGCGGTAGCTGGGAGAGGGGGGGGGAGAGGGGGGGGGGGCGGGTGGGTCGGAAAATAATAACTTCGATATGTTAGTTAGGGGGTTTACCTGTCCAGCCCCCACCGCACCTCGCACCGCGTCTTGCCTACAGAACCTTAGGGGAGCCTGAACCAAACAATCGAACAGAAACACTTCACCACATCATTATCAACCACTAGCGACCACAAAGGCCTACCTGGCACACCCCCTGTACCCCCCTGTACGCTTGCTAAGCCTTTCAGCACCGACTTGCCGACCGCCATTGTCACACCTCCTCATCACCCGGGGTGTACCCGGTGCTGCTGCCGACCCCCCTTGTGAACCCGCAGGAAGATTGGCAGGCCGTGTACTCGATGAAGGTACGGCAAGTGCTTCCGGTGCAGTACAGGGCGGAGTCCCACAAGGCCGCCTTGGGACCCCCCCCCTCTTCGGGGCGCCTTGCATCGCCTGCTTGGATGCGGGGGGGGGCCGCTATCATAGGGGGGGGGCGGGTGTCTATTAGCGACGATGCCGGCGTAGTCGCGTGGCGGCGTTTTCCGTTTCCTCTCCATCTCCCTTTCCCCACCTCCCTCATCCTCCAGTTACCTCCAGTTACCTCCAGTTACCCTGTTCTGTTCTGCACACAACAGGTTCTACAGGTTGTCATTTATCACTTCCCTCAGCCCTCGGTGCTCCCTTTGCGACCTTGGTTTGGTTCGCAACAACGTACAGCAAGGGGGTGCGCACGGTGTTTTACTTCCCCGTCCTTAATCACGTCTACCGTCCCCCTGTGCCCCTTGGGATCTACACTCGCATTGTGCCCTGCCCTGCCCTCCCCTCCCCCCCTCCCTTCCTTTTTTGCTCTTCGCCGCCTTTACACCTACCTTAAGATGGATGGTTTTCCTACTCTCTTTCCACACTTTATCTTAGTCTTGGCGGCTAGGTAGGTCATGTAGTTAGGTACATCATCGCGAGGACTTCTTCTTCATAAGCGCCGACTGGTTAGTTGTGCCTTCCTTACTTCTGGCGCATCAGTCTTTCCTCCATGGCATCAGCTTCACTCTTTCACGTGTTTCGTTTTCCCCTCCCCTCCCTTTGGTATCTGCTCCATTCCCCAGTGGTTCGTCTACCCCCTCCCCCCCCTCCCTGGGCCTCCTGCCTGACCTCCCTCAGGTGGAGGAGCTGCGACGGGCCGGGGAGGTGGCGGCGGAGCTCCGGGCGGAGGTGACCCGTGCGAGGACGGATGCGGACTCCGCGGTGGCGGCGGAGCGGCTGGCGGGCGCGGAGCGGGTCAAGGTAGGTGCTGGTAGGGGTAGGGGTAGGGGTAGGGGTAGGGCCGCTCTGTGGCGGCGGCGGGAGCACGGGAAGATCAGTCTCCAGCTCTCCACACCAGTCTTGGCGTTAGGACTCACTGCCGGGGGTTTGTTGCTGCCGCTTCTGCCAATACCGCACCGGCGGCTCAGGCTGTGGCCCAGGAGCGAGATGACGCCAAGCGCGAGTTGATGGAGCTGGAGGTGAGGAGGTTGGGGGGGAGGGGGGGCCGAGATCATCTGGGCTCCGGGCGGCCCCCCCTTCCTCACTTGACTGAGCGGGGTGTCAGGAGCTGTCATGGGGTGGGAAGGCAGAGCTAACCGTGGTTGCCGTAGACACCTGGTTGCCGTACGTTAACATTCCTCGTACTTTCGGCTCGCCCACCGAAGGGGCTCTATCGCAATACACGCGGATCAGCAGGATTCGATCTTGCTCCATGCCCCGTAGTAGATAATTTAGTGACGATACTGCCTTGCAGTTTGAACGTGTGATATCGCAAAGCTTGCCGAAGCAGTCTGGAGTTTCAGACCGCGCCCGAAGCCTTCCCCTTAATGTTGCTTCGCCAGTGCAATCCGCGTCGTCTGATTGGCTATAGTTGTCAATAGCCGCCCGTCTGGGTGGCTGTGTTGGTATGGATTGGATGAAACTTACTTCTCCTCCTCGACCTGAACACCTTTCCCCCGCCCTTGGCCATGATCGGATTGATCGCAGTACAAGCTCCACGAGACGCAACAACACCTGCATGAGCTGAGGTCATCATCCGCATCGGCGGCAACCGCTGTAGCCGTCGCTGCACCCCCTACACGGCCGACAGGTGGCCCTGGTGTCACTGTCGCCGCCGGCCCGGCTGCTAGCGGCGGGACTGCTGCGGCAGCTGCAGGCCTGAGCGCCAGGACCGTACCTGTCCCCCTGCACGTCGCACCTAAACAGCAGCAGCTGCGGGTGCATGAGCTTGGTTGTGGGCCTGAATCACGGCCTGGAGTCACGGACGTCCGGAGGAATGGCACTTCGGCTGCTGGAGAAGATGTTGGCGGCACTGCCGCTGTTGATGATAACGATGATGATGACGGTGACGAGGGAGACCTGGAGGCTTTGGCCCTCGAGGCGATTGGGTACTTCGGAAGCGAGGAAGATGAGGATGATGATGATGACGGTTTGGAGGAAGTGGAGGGCAAGAAGGTGCGGAGGGCTGGAGGTGCGGAGGCCCGCGATGCCGCACCGCACGGGCGCAGCGGTAGTGCTGCAGGTGACAGTGGCGCTGACGGCGGCGGTGGGGACAACCTGGCGGATCATAACACGCCGTACGACACAGTGACAGCGGGCGACGAAGCGCCGCCAAGCAAGCGACAGCGACACGACGGCGGCGGCAGCAGCAGTGACGGTGCTGCCGTACAGGAACACGGAAGTGGCGAGCTTATTGACGACAGTGAACCGGTTCCGCTGCTGCCCCGTGCCTTCTCAGGGCTTTTCGCTGGGCCAAGCAGTGCTCGACCGGGCTCGAGGACAGTGCAGCAGCAGCAGCAGCAGCAGCAGCAAGGTCGAGGAGGATTGACAGGGGCTGGCGCTGCCGGGGCGGCGAATGCAGCTTTCGGCCTTTCCTTCGCATCCATGGCGCCCGCAGGTGGTGGTGCTGCGCGGTGGAGTGGTGGGTGGCGTGGTGGGGCCTCAGGTGGCGGCAGCGGTAGCAGCCTCCTCGGAGAGGGGCCAGACGGCCGCGGGGGCACCAGCCGATTTCCCCTCACCAGCAGCTTCGGGCACAACAACAGCACCAGGAAGGTGTGTATTACACATGTACACACAAGTGTACCAGGAACAATGTACGGCTCACGTGGATATGCTGTTACGTCATGTCGTACGTAGTCGCAACGCTGAGGGGATGTTTCTACTGGTTATCATGTATTTCTAGTTTCATGGCGGTGGCAGGGGTACGGGTAGCGCCCCATGGAATATACCGATGTGGGCCGGGGTGGGATCAAGCTGCGGTATCGGGGGATGAGGCTGTTCGGGAGCGCGGCACCGCAGTGCTCTGGCAGCCTCCTCTGCTTTGCGCTTCTTGTGCCTGTAGGGGGCTGTGTCCGTCTACCTGCCTGTCAGCCGTCATGTGGTGTTCCCCGTTGGGCTCGTTTGCCTTGCTTTCCTTTCGGCTTCCATTTCATTCCATTTCGTTCCCATGCGGTGCTTCTTCCTTTGCACCGTTTCCTTTCCCCGGTGGCGTTTCGGTACCGCGTTTAGGTGACTTCGGGGAAGACAGCTGGTCGTGGCGGTGGCGGTGGCGGTGCGCCGCAGGGCCGCATCGACACCTTCTTGCGGCCCCTTCCACCGCCTCCCCCACGTCGTTAGGGACCAGCAGTCAGCAACCTCATCGTCCGGCTTTGTGTCTCTCTGCACGGTAGCGGTACCTGTTGGGGTAATCATTTCGCCCTTCAGAGCCGCGCGCGGTGCAGGATTAGTTCGCCAGGCTGGCCCACTGGCCATGACAGCGCCATGCCATCTTTTTGTCTGTCTGTCTAACTGTCTGTCTGTCTGTCATGGGAATGGGATAGTGAGCGTCACAGGGTGAAGTAAAGTAAGCAGAGAAGGGCAGCGGGAGTCACGTAACGCCACCACTCGGGAAGGCCAGGCCAGTCCTGGCCAGCCAACCGGAAAGCCGTGCAGACAGGTCGTGACAGGGCGGGGCAGGCGGGAGGTACCTAGGAGGCTACCATTATCGGTGCCAGCCGGAGTCTGGAGCTATACAGGTTGTTGGGAGGCGCGGATTCATGTCGTCACGAAATAAGGCCAGGAAAAGCGCTTCGAAGCCGGCAAGGGCCCCTTTGAAAGCCTTCTGGAAGTAAGTTGACAATAACTTCCAGAAGGCTTTTAAAGGAATTTTCAAATTTGATTAATAATAGTCTTTGACTGGGACGAAGAAAAGAAGAGGAGGGAAGGGACCTCGTTTTATTACCGCTGGTCACATATCTGCCCCGTCGGCTTGCGCTACACAATCTTCTACTCGGAAAAACCTTCAATAGCAGCTTTGCAATGAATCGAGCAAGAGTTGTCGAAAATAACTGCCGGTAACGGGCGGATTCGTTGTTGCCTTAGGGTTGTTGCCTTAGGGTTCCATGACGTTCCATTACTGCGATGTTGGGTTGTAACGATACTTTTCCTTAGACCTGTAAGTCAGGTTGAAATTGTCCTGCCAACGCATCACAAGCAAAGCATAACCATTGCGTCAAAGCTTAATTAGGACCTAGTTGAGGCCTACTCAGGAGTCCCCGTCCTAATGAACAAAATAGATCGTTTTTCGTCAGGTTTTCGACATGGCTTTCTTATCATAAACTCACTAAATACATTTGCATGGATGCAGGCCTCGGAGAGACACCTGGACAAACGGGAACCGCAAGCAGTTACCGCGGATTAGTAAAATCCAAGCGCATTTTACGGCTTTCACGCAATCGATTTGCTCGATTGTGGCGATTACGGACGTACCGAATAAGGTTTGAGATACCCCATCCGTCCTTTGTGCTGCAGTTGTAGACGAGAAGGAGAAGGTTGTAACTGCTCGCACCCGACTAGGCACTACTTCGTGCACCTCCGGCCCGGAGCCCCGCGTGGTGCCGCTTGGAGGTGCCGAGGCCGGTGGGCCATCGCCAGGGCGGTGCGGTGCACCCGCCTTGTGCACCCACCTTGGTGTGTGAGGCACCGATGCAGCCGCAGCTGGCCGTGACAGCGATTGCGCTTGCCGCCGCCCCGCACGCAGCACGCCGCGCAGCAGTTCTGGCTGCACTTCGTATCCACGCAGGCGCTGTGCAGGTTGAAGGTGGCCTTGTGGCAGCCGTCACGCAGGGGACACATGCCCTTGACAAGGGTACACCTAAGAGTTTTTAGAAAGGGACACCTGCAGCGCTGGAAAGTGACCGACACTCATATGTCAGTGAATGGTGACAGCGGTAATAGGACCCGGGCGGGGTCCGGCGCTTTGCTATTGTTAACGCCTGGACATGCTGCGGCTGGCAAGCAAGGCATGTGCCCCAGGCGAGCACAGGCTGCAAGTATGGTGGGACCCGGAAACGACCTACACACACTTTTCTTTAGCGCAGCAGCAAGGTGCCATCCAGGCATGTATACATGCATGCCTACCGCCAGCAACACGCTGCATAATTTCTCACTCCTCAAGAGCAGCCTGGGGCGTGCGGGCAAATGCACAAGCTCATGGCGCGCGCATCCGTGACCACAAGCTTAAGCAACGGGCATCTCGGTCTGCAGGTAGGGATCTACTACGAAGAGCTACGAAGAACCACCTGCACTTTCACCACCACCCGCGCGCTGAACCACATATCGAAGAGCTGCTTCGCCAGCGCCTGCCGAGCATTGGGGCTAGGCTACTGTGGCGCGGTTGGACATCAGCCGTTGCGGCGAGCTGGGGCCCAGCACCCTGGCCATTGCTGACTGGATTGGTTGGCTGGAACCGCTCCAGCCAACCAACCCAGTCAGCGCATGCGACATCAGCTGCACTCCGTACCAGGGGTTTCCAATGGAACCGCGTACGGACGCGGAGGCCGCACTGGCAGACGTAGGTGGCTGCACGGGTGCCCATGCAAACCCCCTGCCCGCACACTTGGGCCGGGTGTGGCAACCCGGTTTTGCTGCCCAGATGTCGACCCCGGGGGGCGAACCCTGGATCTGGTGTGCGCGCGGCGGTGGGCCGCGGTGGGGAACGTTCGCACCGCGCAGTAGGGCTTCAGACTACATACACATACCAGGAAAGATTCAGTGGCGCTAGAACTGTACACCAATGCTCAAAGGAAGGGCGGCATGACGGTTTTGTTGCGAATTTTCATAATAAAGAATCTAAGCGGAAGTGCCGGGGTTCTTGTAATAGAGCACGTCTTGGTCGCGCGCTGCGGCCCATGTACGAGGCTTGCGGGGCACTGGCTATTTCCTCGTCAATGTCCTTCCAGGAAAGTCCTGCTGGTTACATTGGAACTCATATGGATGACGAGGCTTGCTTGAGGCAGCTTCGCTTGCAGCGTGGCCATGTCAATCTCGAGTCGGGTCACCACCCCGCTTTCCCGGACTATCACCACAAATTACATCATTCGCAAATGTCGTATGGAGGCCTTAACGAGGTCGCGTCCCAGCACAACTCTGCGCGCTTGCCGACGGTGCCCATGTGGACATTGTCTAGGGGAGTCAAGGAATGCGAGCGAAAACGTGCTGGGCAATAGAAGTAATGTGCTCGAGGGCTAACGTAGCTTAAAAGTGAGCAATTTCTTACAATCCGTACGTCTGATAAAAGTTGTGTAAAGTGGGCCCAATGGAAAGTGAAATGAAGGAAATTTCTTAACTTCTCCATAGAACTTAAGGAACTTTCCCAGCCGCTGGCCAATGGAAAGACCCTCTAAGCACTGGCTCCCCGTCCATCCAGGCACCATCTTTGTATCCTGACCGACAGAGTCGCGAAACGGGCGGTGTGCGCGGAGGACGTTGTGATGTACGTTGGCAAGTGCTATGCGGCAATCCGGAGGATCGCACAAGTTCGGCTCGGTCAGCAAATCTTGACCGATAAAAGATATCTGTTCAATACTTCTTCGGCCAAATTTCGCAATTGTGAAATGCTTTACCAAGCCCCGCTTTAGAGCTGTCTGTTAAGCCTGCAAGCAAAGGCCCCGAGCTCACTACCTAGCCGCAAAAGTATATAAGTATGCATTCTGGAAGCATCACACATTTATAACGCATCTCGGCAGTCATGCGGAAGCTAAAACCATAGTATTTCCCAATCCAAACGTAACAAGCTCAAATAAACAAATGGACAGCGAACGTTGCAAAGAGTGTTTTAAGCAAGGCAAGGACCTGGAAAGCCCCGTATCAAAAGGCAGATGTACAGTGCCTTACTACTTTCTCAGCTAAACCAGGAAAAGAGAACATGGAAGCTTATGCGGTTAGCCGGGGTATTGCGTACCAGCCACAACCATGTTCCGATGTTCTCCTTTACCTCCGACTCCACTATGAGGTTTTCAGGATTCCGTTTACGGCAGGACGACCCAGCTGGTATCTCAAACCAAAGTGCACACTTGCTTGCGTTCTCGCAAGTAGTTCTTTCTCTTGAAGTTGCCACAAGAAGCGATTGCCATACGGTCTCCTCAAGGTTTTCTCGGCATTTGCTGGACATTATACACCTCGCAAGTTACTGCTTTCGGCAACATTACGCACGCACCGTTAGGTTCATGGGATTAAAATGTAATGATTTTTATGGATTTTCGGCATCAGCTGCTAACTGTCAATGCCCAGTACCGGCAAAGAAACATTCTTTTCGGAGTTCAATGCACGCTGAGCCCTATGCTTTGGCATTAAATTGTTAAAATGTTTATGTGTTCGTATATTGCTATGATTTCCTTAGCCTCAAATCACTAATGCATTTTTTGTCGGCTTTCACGTTGGACGAGTCGGACGAAACGCTACGACCATTTCCAGGAGGGATGCCCCCTATAAGCATCCTGAGGCAAAACCTTGTTAATTCTGTAGAGCGTAATGTGTTAACCTGTCTTTCTTAGGCCTTGCTATAAGTAATCGTAATCGACTCGGTTGCGAAAAGCAGTTACTATTACGTTTCCGTACATTGCTGCGAATTTCCCCATCAAAATCTTAGCAGAGCGCCAATAGAAGACACGCGAGCGCACCTGCTACAGATTGTGACTTTTCATGATGGCAAGCTACCCATCTGTAGAACGCAATTGCTAACGCTGTACTGTATAGTCTACTCATCTTTGGTGTTGCAACAGGTGCAGCCGGAAGGTGTTGACAATGTACAATTAGTAGACATCCGTCCACAACTGAGATCGTGCTTGTTAGTCCCGCGGCTGTCGTCAGACCGGCAGCTGTCTGCGGGCGGAGTGAAACGACGTGTGTCAACAGGTATGTCACAAATCCAATTTTGAAGCACTGTCACAAGTAGAATAAGCTTCTATCCATCTAAAATGTTCTGTAATAGTGAAATCAAGTGCACTCGATAACCGGACGACGGGAACCTGCATTCGTGGCAAGGTAGCTCACGAATTCCTAGCTGGCAATTATGATTTGAGAAGTAGACATCAATATATTCACATTATTTTATGAAGATGTTGCGGTTTCTGACCTTTGGTTACCTGGGTCGCGTCGATTTGCCATCTGGCCGTCTGTTTCTTGCGAGGGCTCTCTCGAGGCATCAAAACCCAAGAGCATAATGCAGGTTGAAAAGTGTCTGCTTGCCTTGGCTGGCGAATGTGTATTCGCTCGCTTCCGATAGCTTATCACCCCTTCCCAGACTTTCCGCGAAACCGCCGACGCACGGCGCGCCTCGGTCTGTCTCAGGCTACCTCGGGCCCATCCCAGACTAGGACGAGCTTTTCAAGACCTTTTCTCAATTAAACTGAATCCCTGCTTTATGATGTCGCGCTGATCTCTCGTTTTCATTCTCCTCGCAGGTTTATTTTCCCAAACGCAATTTCAGATCGCGCAGGTGACACCCCCCTCACCTTTGCGAGCTTTGCGGGCAAACCGCAGACGAAACGCTACAGGAGCTACCAACGGTCTTCACCAACGGTCTTTACCAACGGTCATAAGTGTCACAACGATGGCAAATTGCGCTCTCTGCAAAGGTCCTTTGGAATCTGTCGTAGCTTTGGATATGGTCAGCTGGGTGAGCCCTGCGTCTACCCCGCCCTCCGCTTGCCAGTCTTCGAACTCGGCAGCTTGGACATCGGACACACCGATTCAGGCGGCCCAGAGCTTCTTGTTCCCAAGCAGCTCTCCAACTGCCCCCTCTGAGCAGCAACAACATCAACATCAACATCAACATCAACATCAACAGCGGCATTACCGCCAGTACCACAACTACCACCAGCAGCAGAAACAAATGCTGGTGCAGCCTCCAGAGCGTTGCCGTACAGCTGCTGACGCTCAGCAGCATCCGCTGGGGGAGCCATGGCCAGCGACGGCATGTGGGCTCCCCCTGGGGGCCGCAACCTCGGCTGCTCGGCCGAGATCCCCGGCGGCGGCGCTCCTCCGGCTCCAATCACACCACCACAGCCGCCAGGGTATGGCAAAGCCGAAGCAGTGCGTGCTGCAGCTGCATGCGGCACAGCCACCGGCAGCTGTGGCGGGTTACCACCACCACCACCGTGCCGCGACCGGCCCCTGTCAGACCGCAGCTGCTACCCATCAGTTTGACGATGCGATGCGGCAGCGCCAACATCACCCGAGACAGCAGCTGCTGCTGCTACAGCCGCAGTTACTACAGCCGCAGCAGCTGCAGCACGACGGGGTAAACTTCACGGCGGCCGATCCGGCGGCGGTCACGTTGGATCTGCACCACCACCACCACCACCACCACCACGCGGCGCAACTGCAACTCAGCTGCGATAGGAGCCAGAAGCGGCCCCGGGATCCCGCGGCTGTGTCGGGGCTTGACCTCGGCTTGCTCCGCGCCAACCGTCGCGCCTGCTTGCTCCCCCCGCCTCCACAGGCACCGGCTGTTGCAGCCGCAGCCGCAGCAGCAGGCTGGAGCCCCGTGGCGAGCCGTCGTTGCTTGCAGCGGTACGACTCATTGGAAAGCGACGGCTCGCACTCCGATAGTAGCGTCGTCTTTGCAACGGAAAACAACGCCAACGGCAACATTTTAACCGTTGCAACCGCCGCAACTGCCGCCCCTGCAACCGTTACAGCTCCTGGGGTTGCAGCGGCGGCAAGCAGCGTCAACGCTATCGTAGCTTTTGCTGCTGTCCCGCAACGGTGGGATGCTATCAGTCAGATGACCTCGAGCCGAACTCGCCAGTCACATCAGGGCGCCCTGCTGCCTGCCGCACCAGCACCAGCACCAGCAACAAGACCGACGGTAACGACTACAGCAGTGCGTGGATGGACCCATGGGTCACATGCGACCGCGTACTCGACGCTGTCGTCACCACCACCGCCGCGCCTCTCCCGGCTGTCGACGCCCTGCGCCAGCCACGGCGAAGAGTTTATCCTCAATGCCACTCGTGCCCTGTACCTCTGCCCCGACACAAGCGGCAAGCTGGCGTTACATATCTGGCGCCGCGTCGGCGCTGTCGTACGGGTGGTGCTGTCCATTCGCGACGTGGGCGTCGACGGTGACGATCCGCGGGTTGTGTCGAGCACCTACCGCATATACGCCACAGCTTGTCTGTGGCTGGCGTCTAAGCTGGAGGAGCAGCGCCGGCTGGTGGCGGAGCCGGGGGCCCTTGCGGTGGTGGCGCAGGCGTCGGCGGAGGCCTTATGTACGGCAGAGCTGCGAGTTTTGGCCTGGGTGGAATGGTGCCCGCTGCGAGGCTACCTGCCGTCGCCGCCGCAGCGTCTGGGGCTGGGTCCGGCGCGTGGTTAGAAACACACACACACATACATACATACATACACACGGTGTTAAGGGGAAGGAAGGAAGAGAGTGTGTGTAAGGGGGGGGAAAGGAGAGAGGTACGTGGCGGGCGCGCAGCCAAGATTGAGGTGTCGAAAGGTTCTTGAATGTTCTTGGGTCGTTGCTGCTGGCTGTGATAATTCTTTATGTTTGTGACCAGCGTAAAAGGTATGTGTGAGGAATATGAGGTGGAGGAGGGGGAGGAAGAGCATCAGAGCTCCAGAGTTTCTTGCTGCTGCGGTATGTACGGCTGTACGACTACTGTTGAACAAATGCGTGGGGGCCTATCAGTTGGCAGTTGGAGGTTGTTCGGTGCAGCTAGGCGGGTGGACACGAAGAAATTACGGCGGCTGAGAGCCATTAGGGCAGCTAGGGGAGCTGGCGGCAACCCCATTGCGTGTTGCCGGCGATTTGTCAGGACCTTGTGTGTCCCCGTGACCCTAACGACTTCTGTGTGTGTATGTGTATTTGTTGTGTATGTATGTATGTATGTATGTATGTATGTATGTATGTATGTATGTATGTATGTATGTATGTATGTATGTATGTATGTATGTATGTATGTATGTATGTATGTATGTATGTATGTATGTATGTATGTATGTATGTATGTATGTATGTATGTATGTATGTATGTATGTATGTATGTATGTATGTATCTCGATAAACTAACCGGTGTATGGAGTTTTGCTGCACAGGTCGTACAGGAATTCTATAACCAGGAGACCACCTGGTCAGGGGCCTTGCGATGATGACGAGTCTGGGTGCCGGTACGGTGAGAAGCCCATTTTGTTCCAACCCGGGCGGTCCACCTCCTCCTCCTCCTGTTGTTGTTGTTGTACGTCTCCTGCTGCGCCGCCTTGCGGTGGTGGCACGTCGCGGTGTGCACGAGGACCGAGGACTGTTTTGCGGGCTGTAGGTGTGTAGGTGGATGAGCCAGAGAGTGTGTGCGTCTCACCTGCTGATGACGCCTGGATCAACGGAGCCGTCTAGCAAGGGACTGTCACTTGCGCGTAAGGCAGGCTTCACATGCTTGACGTGTTTGCCTTAGCTGCTAGACATTTAGAGATTTACAGCATATAGCACTTTGATGTGTCTCTGGTGGCGGGGGGTGGGAAGAGAGAAACAAAGTATTGTGGCTGACATTGCGAAGATTCATGACTTTCCAATTCCGCGCCGCTTGTTGCGTTGCGCTTTACAGAGGGGCCGTACATCTTGCTGGCCGTACGCCTGGATCCTTGTACGACCGACTCGGTGCGGGCTCGGATTCAGAATTTGAATTGGGTTGTTTTGCAGAAGTAGTTTCCGGAGCTGTAGTTGCGTTAGTTGCGCATATTAGGGTTTCCTTTAAAGGAAGGAAAGAAAAGAATAAGAGGCAGCTGTGTCGCACAAGTAATGCTAAGAATGTATGTTGTAGCCGCTTTCGGTAGTCAGTTTCGGTATTGCTTTTATAGTGCTATTGCTGCTATAGCGCTATTGCTACTCTTGCCGCTGTTATAGTGCTGCTGTGGATGCAGCAGCAGAGGTGCCACCGACCGAGGGCTGCCGGAAGCCATTAGCCATATGAGAGCGTTACTACGAACGATATAGTCTGCTGTAGATGGCGTCACCGCCCGGCGCGGTACCACTCGGCTGGGCGGCGGGCTAGCAGGCCAGCAGGGCCTTCCGCAGGTGCTGCGTTGTGGTCGGAGTAAGGGTTTTTACCCCCGCTATTTTTTGTTCCCTCAACAAATGTGTGTATGTATGTATGCGCTGGTTTTTATGGTTTCCGCGGTTTCGGTGCTAGGGTTTTTGCCTCCTTCGCAAGGATGCGAATGGAAGGTTCTGGATTCTTCCGAGTCCGCCTATTCAGGGAACATGATACTAAAAGAGTGACTTGGAACTCGAAAATGGCAACGGCAACGGCGAAACTGATCGGGGGGCCTCCAAAGAGGCCGAGTCCCCCCCTGGCTCATCGCTCCTGTTGGCAGCATGCTGTGGGCGAGTGTAAGAAGCGAGGCACGTCGGTTCTGTTTGACTCCCGTACACCATGCTCACGAGATCCACCTGCACAGCCAACACAGAGCGTGTCTGTTTGTATTATGGCTCTGTTTATTCGGGCGCTGGTCGGGATAATTTGTTTGCCTGTTTCCGTGTGTGGTGTCAAATGCTGTGTTAGTTGGTGTGCTAGGCCTTATGCTGTGCTTATGCTGCCTTGGGTGTTGACCACACAACGGTTTAACAAACTAACGAGAACTATTTTGAACACCATTTTGACAGCGGCAGTTTCCCGCCCGCTGCGGATCTTGTCCTATTTACCTACCGCCACCACCACCACCACCACCACCACTGTGAAGTGCCCGGGGAAGAAGCGCGAGCGTGAAGCCTACCCATGGGGTTGGTCTAGGGGCAGGTGCTACTCTCTCTTGGCGTGGTTGGCAGGATAGCAGAGTCGATCCATCGTCACCATCATTATCATCATCAATAATAATAATACCGTGATTGCAATGATTGCAGTCGCTACCCACGGAACGGACGACGGCTGCTGTACCACACAATGCCGCCCCATTGTGTGGTACAGCGGTGGGCGGTCTTCCCGGCTGAGCAGCGGTACCCCTGCGGTTGTTCGTGTTCATCCAGCGGTACTGTGTACCATTCACCCGCACGGCCGGGGGCCGGGAGGCCGGGGGGATCTTAGGTGCGAGGGCCTCCTCCCGGGGGCGGTATCCGGAACATGAGGGGCTGGCTATCCGGTGGCGGCCTATTCGTCCCTCGAGGGGGAGAGGGGGGGGAGCATGTGCTGACGGTTAGAGGAGAAAGAAACGAGCAATCACCCGGGTAGATAGATAGGTAGGTAGGTAGATGGGTAGGTAGGTAGATATGTATGTATGTAGGTCGGTAGGTAGGGTTAATATAACCAACGGACGCCCTGGTGCAGCATACTGACACGCCGCCACACGGGGCAAGTGTGATTCGTTTTCCCGCAGTGGTGGATCGACAGGTGATGAAAAGTGGCTCTTTCCCCAGGCGGCGGCCGAGGCGGAGAAAGGGTGCGGCTGCGACTGCTGTAAGCGCGCGGCTGGTGCTCGCAGAAGAGTCGAGCAGACGATTGGTATGACATGCCGGCTGCATCGAACCAATACTTAGGGTTTATGAGAACTCCTGGCACAGCACGGTCAAGCGACGTCTGTTCGCCTGGGGAAACCCAGAAATAATAGGGCCCTCTCCTCCCTTCCCCCCAACACACACATCTCCATTACATCGTACCGTACCGTATTGTGGGAAACAGGTGCACTGTAAATGCGGATACGATTGCGTTGAATGGATCTGCGGATGTCCGAAACGCGAAAACAGCTGCATGTGGAGGTGTGTAGGTGTGTAGATCGTTATGAGGACCATTCCAGCAAGGTGGGAGTAGTGGTGGTTTGCTGCCCCCGGTGTCGTCGCGATCTCATCAGCGACCGGCGTTGTAGCGGTCAGCCGCTTGAGATCAGCACTGATTCAAAATCTGTGACATTTTGATTTTGGTGAATCAGGTTCAGCTGTGTCAGGGCGGATATATCAGTCGAGTGAGGGAGCCGCTAATCCCCGCCAGAGGAGCTGCCGCTAGGGGGTACTGTCATGCCGCTCCTTAAAGGACAGCGTGCAATGTTATATTACGCTAGCCGTCTAACAAACGACCAGGCACACACCAGAGGTGTAATCCATGGGGCCCCAACGACAGCAACCTCAGCGGAACACTGCCGCTGCTGCTCCTCCTGCTGCTCCTGCTGCAACTGAAGGGTGCGGTCTCAAACGAGCTCTTGCGTGCGTGCTTGCTTCTGCACAACTTTAAAAAACCGAAGGTTACAAGCTCTTCTTTTCCTCATCAACTTTTTTTAAATTTAAATTTCAAATTTTAAGGTTATGTGCATTGACAGCAGGACGTTAATCGACGTAAAATCTCAAAATTAAAGGACAAATTCTTGGTACCTTTTGGCCTAACAACTCCCCAAAGCCCTGTCCTCCTCTGTCCCTTCCTGCCCCATGAGACGGATTCCGAGTCGATTACGATGGACTTGCCACGATGCCTGGAAGCTTCCAACTGAACTTCCCCAGCACTCCCTAAGTTTTCGTTACGTCAGCTGTGATACACCAATTGTGTAGAAGGTTCGATAGCTGAATCCGGCGGGACTGAGTCGCTGACTCTCTCCGCACCCGGGCTTCAGTGTTTTCGGAATTCGCAACATATAGACCATCTACAGAAAGTGCAGAGTGCGATGGCATAATGTTACATGCGCCTTTGCGGATCGATGCGGACGTATGAAGGTTCAAACCAAAGATCGATAGGCGCTCGAGACTCGACTCCGACCTCGCGGCTGTAGGGTACGTCGGTTACAATCTTGCCTGTGTAGGCTGCAAAGCATGGGCGCTGACTGCCGTTTTGCACCTCAGCCGAGTTTTATCGCAGTGACTATAAATAATTTTCTGTTATCTGATAATTGCTTGGACGGGTTGTGAGGACCTACCGTAAGATCAGGTAAGGTGGGGACCTCCCTTTAACGGGCTGCCTGTTTATGGCAATTATTTACAGTATTACTAGTTTTTTCGAGCTTAGTTCAGTCAACACATTGTCCAACTACTAAGCTACCCCAAAAGGCGATGCTGACATCGTGCTGACACATTGGCCTGGTGTCCTTTTCCGTTCCACTGCAGTCAGCGAAATATCCGACAACTTTGGGCCCCAAGCGCTAAGCGGCGTAAAAGATAAAGCAAAAACTTTAGAATGTGCCTAGAGATTTGCGAAGCTGGGTTAAGCTGTAGTAATTCAGGAAGCAAACCATATGACCGAAACTCTGATTGCGTAGACTTCAACCCGTAATCTCTTTCCAAAAGACCATAGATTTCAAGCTGAAAATTATACTGTCCTCAGAGCCTTGTCTCTTGTTCGATAACCTAGGCGATACGGTAATCTAAGCTCCACAAGCTAATCTATCCAGTTCTTCGTTGAGTCAACGTTTTGGCAGTTCCAAATTCGTGCTTACGTTCGATATCATCTGTGCAATCGTTTGCATGTACCGAAGTTGTTTATCATACTGCAACCGTACCGTACTTCCCATTTGCCGCGGCTTAGGTGCTTTAAGTCACTCTTATAAAATTTGCCACATGCGTGTTCTACAGATACACAGAAATCTGTAGAAGAAGCCTTAGTCACCACAAAAATGTGGACATTGCCCGGGTTTGCCGTACTTCGGCATGATGATTGAGTACTGACGGCAGTAGGGTTATTAACACGACCCAAGGATTGATGCGATGCTAAGAACTCACCGTTCATTGTCATGGACTCTTCAAGGATGTCGGTACTTACGCCTTTGCCATGTCGCATCAGCATTGCCTTAAGAACTAAGCACTAGATGTAAATGATAAGGCGGATATTTCATGCTGAGCATGTTGAAGGAATTCGATGGCTCTAAAGATACTGACAACATAACCAACTGGGAAACGCGTAATAAGAAATACATCCAACAGATAATCATGCAGAAGAAGCAAGCACAATTGCAGAGCCAACAAGCTGCGGAGGAAGAACAGGTGAACAAAACAACTCGCGACATGCAGCCGATTTGGCAATGAAACTTCGGCAACGCACACAATTTCATAATATATAACTGCACTCGAAGCAATTAAATACATTCTGTCTCTTCCCGATGACCCTAAACAGAAGCGCAAGCTTAAGCTTTCACGTCGGGTTCTTGGCGCAAGCTTCCAGCGTCTGTTCCCGCAACAAGCTGCCGCGCTGTCCCGCAGTCCGGAGCCAGGAGGCGGTAACAACAGCGCACCTGACAGCGATGCTGGCTACGGGGCAGGCCCTTGCCCTGGCGCCCCGGAGCATGGCACGGAGCCCAGCAGACTGGAGCGCAACGACATCCGCTCTCAAGTCCCCAGGCTGCCGCCCCTAACAGACGTGTCTGATACTGCGGCTGCTGCGGCTGCTTCCACTGCTACAGATGTCAGCAGCGTCGTTGCAGCCCCCGCGACACAGCTCGCAGTCGAGCAACAGCGGCACGGCGCCAGCATCCTCAACCAAGCCGCGGCGGATGGCGTCGGCGCCGGCGCCGGCGCCGATGCCGACGCCAGTGACGGAGCTGGCGGTGGAGCTGCGTCCCCAGTGGCGCCGCCATGTACTCGACGCAGCATGCAAATGCGTGTCGGCGGCGGCGGTGGCGGTGGCGGCGTGCTGCGAGCTCAGAATCCACTGTGTCGCTCCGTCAGCGCACAGCGAGCAGATGCCCCCCCACACACATCGCCGTACTACAGCGATAGTTGTGGCCTTGGCAGCGGGGGGGCCAGCGGCGGCGGCGGCGGCGGCGGAAGCCACACTCGACCCGTACTACGTCAGCAACGGCAGCAGCGCATTCACTGCCGTCAATCACCGCCGCCACTAACGCAACCCCAGCAACCTCAGCAGCGCCAGAGCACGCAGAAGAACTCCAACCAGCACCAACAGCAGCAGCACCTCCGCAGCCATCGGGCCCGCCGCTCCACTTTCCCCGAACCATCAACCAGATCCGTTCAGTCCGCAACCGCCACAACCGCTAACGACCCTAACGAACAACCCAACGACCCCGAAGACGGCGACGACGAGGGCCCTGACGTCGCCGTCAACGACCGGCGCACTGTACGGCGGCGAGAGGCCAAGACCACTACCCTCCTCCGCTCACATCACCAGCACCAACATCAACACCAGCAGCCGCAGGCGCCCGTGCTGGCGGTAGCGGCCCGCTCGTCATTTCGTCTGGTAGCACCAGCTGCTGCTGCTGCTGCTGGGCTGGCGCCCTCACCAGTGGGCTTCGCGCTTTGGCGGGCTCGGAGTCGGCTGCCAGACGGCCAGAAGGTCTTTTGCATTGCGGGCTCCGGAAACCACAGCCAGGGCATCCGAGCCGGGCTGCTGGCACGCGGTTGGTACGAAAACCCAGACCATAACTCCCCCTTCTTCGACTTCAAATGGGCGGGTGAGTGCCGTACTCCTGGGGGGCTGCTTAGGCGCGTCCCAGGAGGCGAATTGCTATTGCCCGTACGGCATCAAGTACGGCATTAAGTACGGCATTAAAAGTAATGCTGTGTGAAAAAGGAAAGGCAAAAGATTGCCGCTGGTTCCGCCGCTGTCTTACAGCCTTGCAGAGCCCCCGTCTGCTATGTGAGAGGTGATCTGGGAGGGAGGAGGTGACGGCATATCATATACGATAATGATAACAATAACCTTGTATAATTTGTTGCTCTGTCGTACATGTCGTACATGCCGTACCGCCGCACGCAGCTAACCCTCTGGACATCAACCACTACGCGCTGTGGCCCGGGCAGATTGTCAACCACTTCCGCCACTCGACGTGCCTCACCACGAAACACGGTTTGTGCTACACGGTGCGGGAGACCGTGTGGTACGCGGCGGCCGACGCGGCGGCCTTCTACCCAAGGTCCGTACGGTCGTACGACCATACGGCCCAATTATGTACGGCCAAAGATTTCGAAAATTCCGTCGTGTGTGTCGACGTTCCCGTACCGTGCTCCGCTGCGTTGGCTGGTTGGTTGGTTGTTATCACGACTGTCGGGTGTAGCTGCAGGAGCGTGTGGCAGTTGGTGGTTGGGGTTGTTCCCCGAGCCGGCAGCCCAGTCCCCACACCTCTTTTAAAACACCCCGCTTGGTCTGTGGTCGTACCGTTGGATGCTAACCGTAGGGCGTACGACATTACGGACGAGTCTTCCCGTCGGGAGTTCCTTCAGGATGTCCGTTTCACGGCCGCCGAAGCGCTCATCAAGCGGGCTCTAATCGACGGTGCGGTTTGTACGACGTACGTGCCGTACAGCCCGAAACGGAAATCAAGCAACCACAGCGCCCATCAGCAGCATGGGAAGGCGTCATTTGCTGCGGCGGCGGCGGCAGGTACGATTGTTGACGGAGGTGGCGGAGGCAACGGTGAGGCGACGGCGCCGCCAGGCGACGACGCGTGTGCCGGTATGGCTGGCGGCGGCGGCGGCGACGGCAGCAGCACTGATGAGGGCCTGCATCGTCTGCATCAACGTCTGGACTCCGGACCTCTCGTTGACCTGCCTTCCTTGAGACTGGCTTGCAGGTGCGGGTGGGGGGTGGCTTGAGTGGGTGTGCGGGTGGGGGGTGGCTTGAGTGGGTGTGCGGGTGGGGGGTGGCTTGAGTGGGTGTGCGGGTGGGGGGTGGCTTGAGTGGGTGTGCGGGTGGGGGGTGGCTTGAGTGGGTGTGCGGGTGGGGGGTGGCTTGAGTGGGTGTGCGGGTGGGGGGTGGCTTGAGTGGGTGTGCGGGTGGGGGGTGGCTTGAGTGGGTGTGCGGGTGGGGGGTGGCTTGAGTGGGTGTGCGGGTGGGGGGTGGCTTGGGTGGGTGTGCGGGTGGGGGGTGGCTTGAGTGGGTGTGCGGGTGGGGGGTGGCTTGAGTGGGTGTGCGGGTGGGGGGTGGCTTGAGTGGGTGTGCGGGTGGGGGGTGGCCTGAGTGGGTGTGCGGGTGGGGGGTGGCCTGAGTGGGTGTGCGGGTGGGGGGTGGCCTGAGTGGGTGTGCGGGTGGGGGGTGGCTTGAGTGGGTGTGCGGGTGGGGGGTGGCCTGAGAGGGTGTGCGGGTGGGGGGTGGCCTGAGTGGGTGTGCGGGTGGGGGGTGGCCTGAGAGGGTGTGCGGGTCGGGGAAAAACCTGAGTGGGTGTGCGGGTGGGGGGTGGCCTGACTCGGTAAGGGGGGGGGGGGGGGGTGGCTTGGGAGGTAACCTGGCAGCGGGACCCCTGACGTGGCGGCTTAGAGACCGCGGCTAGCCTAGCCTAGCCTAGCTAGCTCTCCCCTCGAAACTGTAGTTAGCTTGGTTTCGGGGTCCCTCTCTGACGGCCCTTTTGTTCGTCCCCCGCCCCCGCCGCGGGCCCCCCCTTGAGGAGTGAGGACTTTCGGTCCCTCCCTGCGGACCACGAACAGCCTCGGGGGACCAAGTGCCTCTCCCGCCGCCGCCGCCGGTCTGGGTTTTTGTGTATCATTCCCCACTCCCTCTCACACTCCCCCTCTCACACTCCCCCTCTCACACACACACTCCCTCTCTCTCCCAATGTGAATGCGCCACTGCCGCCCAGGGTTGTGGCGGCCCGGCTGCGACAGCATCGGCACCTACGTGTCGTACACGAAAGCAGCAGGCAAGGTCCCCGCGGCGGCGGGTGTGGTGGTGGCGGCGGCGGCGGCGGCAGTCGTACGGCGGATCCCGATGAGCCCGCCCCAGAGGTGGAGCCCAGCGCCGCCGCGTGGCAGCAGCTGCTGAAGCACCGGGCCCTGTCGTGCAGCGCGCCGGTGCTGCCGCCACCCCAGTTCGATCCCAGCTGGATACAAAATCGTTCCTTTATCACCAGCGCCCTTCTGCCGCCCGCCGCCGTCGCACCCGGGAAGGCCAAGCGCAGCGGCGGCGGCAGCCCCCGGCGGAAGAGCAAAGCAGGGAGGAATGGCGGCATGGGTGTGCAAGGCCGCCGTTGCCGCAGCGGTGACGGCGGTGACGGAGGCGGGACTGGGACAGGCGGTGACACCGACGGCGGCGGCGGCAGCAGTGACGGGGGTGAGGTGGGCGGAGATCTCGATGGCGACAGCGGCTGTGGCGGCTTTCCGCCCGCAGCGTCGGCTCCCTCCGCGGGGCGAACTGCCGAGGACGACGCCGTAGAGGACGAAAAAGGGGAGGCAGCGGCGGCGGCGGCGGCGGCGGCGGCGGCGCGGCGGCGGCCCAGGGACGCTGTCGTCGTTGCCGACGCAGCGGAGCTGCTTCGGGAGGTGTACGGAAAGTCCCGGCGACGGCATTCCGCGCCGCCGTCACATCGACAGGAAGGCGGCAACGCGGGTGATGTTCTTGCCGCCGCCGCCGCCGCGTCGGAACCTTTGTCATCGCCTCCGCTGCCACAGCCGCAGGTAGCGGCGGCGGCGGATGCGGCGGCGGCGGCGGAGGGGGAGCAGGAGGAGGAGGATATCGCGGGTTGGGGAGCGGACAGCAGCGGCGGCGGCGACGTCGACGCAGACGCCAGCGATGGCGGTCCGGGAAACACCCCCGGGCCCAGCTGGTTACCCGAGGACTTGCCGGCCATCTGTTACGATGACGTGGCGCTGCAGGTGCGTGCCGTACAATGCTGTGCAAAACATACTCAAATGTACAACACAAGATCTTGCGATGTACTAGAAAGGTGTACACGTTGCCAAAAGGTTTCAATAACGGTCGGGAAGTCGAGCGAAATGGTCTACAGTTGTCCCTCCATTTCCTCGGAAGGTCGTTGGTGTCGGTTTGCAACAGTTGGACCTGCACGACATATTAACCAACTTACCTTCCACCACAGACTTTCCTCACGTACAAGTCCCGGCTCTAAAGAAACGGTCGCGTTCCTTCCCAACCTGACGAATTAGCCATTCATAACTCCTAACTCCTAACCACCCCGCCTGAGTGCCAATCAATATAAATCATAACGCCAAAGCGACCAACGGAAAACTCAACGGAAAACCGATCTGTAAGCCAACGGCTTTCTTTACTAGAGTTTTCTCCCAGCATCCCTTCCTTCTTTCCCCCACCCCACCCCACCCCACCCCACCCCACCCCACCCCACCCCACCCCACCCCACCCCACCCCACCCCACCCCACCCCACCCCACCCCACCCCACCCCACCCCCACCGTCAGGCGCTGGATCTATCGACTTGGCGCCCAGCCGCCGAGGCACTCCTGGGGGCGCTTGAGAGCA